CTTGGGTTGAACAGTTTTAATTTTCCGTACTTTAATAAATCTTAAACCTAGAAGCTAAAATTCCAAATATCATTAATTAGCATACTCCTGCTGTAGCTCAGAGCTAAACGTTTCTTCCTATTAGCAAAGCGATCGCTTCGTGACACCGGTTTATTTTTAAGAGTATCTTAGGGGAGCACTATCTGGCAAATGCAAATTTAATATAATGGATCAGGCTGAAGCAGATGGGATTGCGTTAGTGAATCCTTGCTTATCCAGGTGGAAATTCCTCATTCAGTTTGTTAATCGAGGTAAGAGGGAAGAGCTTGCAGTGATCCATTAGGCGCTGTTCAATAAAACCTGCCTTAGATAGGATTCTGAAAAAGAAAGAAGGGGGTTCTGGATTCGCTGCTGAAAAACCGCTTTCCAGGGTATTACAAGAGCACTGTCCTACATTTCGACAAATTCCTGGAAGGGCCGAGTAGGCTTAATGGAGTCGATGCAACATCTTTAACATAAAAAAAAAGACTGTTTCTCTCATTTCAGATGTAACCAAAGCGCTCAGTCTGTTTACTGGCCTGTGTGTGTCTTGATTCCTCTGCAGAAGAGCTCTTAGATTAGATCAAACAATCCATTCAGCAGAGTGAGGAGCACCAGGCTGGTTTATTTTCTACATATTCGATCTGCCGTTGGGCGACAGTGGCAAAGGAGTTGGTTCTGGGCCTGGGGTGCTGTCTGTGTGGAGTTTGTGACAGTAGCACGTGTTCTCCCTGTGTTTGCGCTGATGGTAGTGTGTTTCTGTGTCCTGTGGGGCTTTAAGGCTTTCTTTTTAGGCCTTTTTCAGGGGTTATACCAGAGCAGCAATTTTTTTTTTGGCTTTAAACCATGTGCTTCGTGCTTGACAAGTTTGTGTGTATGTTCTTCTATGGGATGTTTCCAGAGTAGCAATATATTTTTTTGGGGGGAAAATAGTAACTAAAATTGCTCCCACTAAACAACATATTTAAGACGCGTTAAGATCATTCTCTTGCATGGGGTGAGGGAACTTTTTTGTTGTTGTTTTGAGTATGTGTGATTTGGACTATCAGGCTGATAGTGGGAAGATGAAGGGAATAGAAAACGGTGTAAATTTTCCTCCTAGAGCCGAGTGAGGAAAATATCTATGGGCCTCAGCTTCTAGAGTGCTGTCCAGTCGGCCGTGAGCAGCTCAGGTCCTGGGTAAGCGTGCAGGCTGTCGTCGGTAGTCTAACGCAAGGAAGTGAGGCAGGCTTGGGTGTGCGCTGTCTCTCTGGTGTTTGTGGAGGATGGATGTATGATCTGTTTGTTCTCTGACCAGAAGGGGTCGCCACAGCGAGGACGCCTGCACCCCCTGTGTCTGCGTTGCTTGAGCTCCCCAAGGCCTCTCCTCCCACTTCCTCTCGCCGGGGGCTGCACCTCTGTCTCTGGGGGGCACCTTGCCTGACGATGCCCCTGGGAAACCTCAGCCGTTTCGATTGACCAGAGCAGAGCAGTGCAGTTAGTGGACTGCAGATTCCAGACACAGAGAAGCTTTTAATCGTGTTGCTCTTGTGCAGTCCATAGATCTCGTGGTGCTACTGCTTGCTTTCGGTGTCTTTCGATAGTGGCGTTAGAGGCTGTATTTGAGCCCGTGCTCAACAATAACCCTTCCCCCGAGGCGGCACCTCTGCCAAGCCTGAGTGAAGGGACACTCACAGGTGGTTCTGATGGGAAAGCTAAATGGCTTTAAGATCTGACCTTGCATATAAATACACCACTTTGTAAGAAACTGTTTAACTTTTAATGTTTTTAAAATTTAAATACCTGCCACTCCGAGTCTGAAGGAATGCCAAGCCAAAGCTGCGATGGTTGTAAATCCTCCTTGAATTCATTTAAAGGAAGATGCCTGTAACGCCTCGTGTCAGATTAATGATAGGTGAGCTTGTTCTCTGCAGCACACACAGCTGCCACGAAGCAGGCCCATTTTTCACATACGTCATCAAGGTCCCTCGATCCACACAATTCACCAGCGAAGTGATGCTCAGAATGCTTAAAAGAAAATCAGGAACAGCAAAAAATAACACTTGCCGTGGAAAAGCAAGTTGTTGTTGCTTTTTGTTTTTTTCTGATAACTGCGTAGCTACCTCTCATCTTGTGGCCACAATGTGTGCCAGCAGCTGTGCTCGGCCATCTTGTCTGTTGTCGTCAACGGCAGTCAGTTGTTAGTCCACTCAAGATTGGCACCCTGGCTCAGTAGGGTGCTGGGAGCAATCTAGTTGTGTCCTAATAATCAATAATGAGATGGGAAGGAAAAGCACCCCTTTAAAAAAAACTGTAGGAGGCTTTACAAGACGTTACTCTGTGTTGGTAACAGTGTCCTCAGCAACGTTCTGGCCCTGCTGCTTCAGAGTCAGGCCAGTATGTCAGTAGCGAAGCTCCACCTTGGCATTTCTTCATCAGAATATAATAATTTCAGCCATTTTTTTTCTGTCATTTTCCCTCTCATGTGGTAGACAGCTCCATCTGTTAAGAGTTAATCACAATCTCCTTTTAATTGTTATCAGGGGACCAGGCACATATGAAATTAATGTCATCTTTGATGGGGCTTACATGGTCAGGTCACTCGATTATGGAACGGCGCTTTCCAAGCAGCAGGTACTGTGTGGGAAACAAAGTCCTCCTCTAAATGATAGCCCTCTTCTGAAGAGGATGTTAAAAATGAGATGGCAGTGTTATTATAAAGTGTCATGTTAAATGAAGTGTAGTGAATTTCAATTATGCAGCAGAGTCTCACTGTCATTTGTGTTTGAATTGTGCTGAAATGGTGAGGAATCATGGATTTGATGAACTTGGAGAGGGACTCGCAGGCGGGCCTTCGGTTTTCCCTTCCTTGCTGAACAGAACAGTGGGGTTTACAGAGACAGGCTATCCTTCGAGGTTCTGAAATGGGACTTTTGTTTTATGTCGTGCTCGAAGAGGGTTTTCACCTCTTAGGAGTAGAGTTTGCTCGAATGGAGTTAAACCTGCAAGACAGTGGAACCGAAGAGCGCTTTGGTGCCTTGCCTTGGGTACACTTCAGTGGAGTGCGTTCAAGTTCACGTGCAGCAAAGGGTGGACTTTTATTGGACTGTGCGTGTTCCCTTCAGAGCTCTCAGAGCGAAATGGGACATTGCAGACGGCTGTCCTGGTGGTTGTGTAGAATGTGCTCTTAGGATTTTAAAATGCAGCTTAAGATTCCCTTTGATTTGGCCTTTTGTGTCACATTGGGTTTGTGCTGGGGGGTAATGAATGAAAGTGCTGCACAGTGTATCACAAGGAGGCAGAAGCTGGAGGATGCAGCTGTGGCCACACTAAGATTTTACACCCACTCTCATTTACAGGCAAAGATTAAGTCTCGGAAAAGAGAAATGTTTCAACAGCAGTTCTGCCCCGGGGAGTTTGCAGGAGTTTGGCAAAGGCTTTGCCTGTTTAATTTCCGGGAATTCCTCGGGATGGCTGGCAGTAATTTCGTCCGGTGGTCGGCCTTGAGGCTGGAGCTTGGCCGCATCGGCTGCCCTCTCTGAATCCCTCCTCCTGCCGACCGCTGCCGCAAGACCAGAGCCTGGGACCTCGCAGCACTGCTGAAGATCATACATGGGCAGAAAATGAGCCGAGTTCCAATAAAAATAATGGTGATTAATTGCACTTCCTGAGCAAACTAATGGACAGTGAGATTGCAGTCTTGACATCTTTTCCTACTACATTCTTCATAGCAGCATAGTCCCCACTGGTTGTTATGAAGGCTGTTGGTAAAATAAACTAACTGTTGCAATTGGCGGTTGACTCATACAACATGTAGGCAGTGGTTTTTTTTTGCGTCTGTAACCTTTGCTCGTTGCCTCCGTTCTCCATCTTAAAGTGGCTGTAGTGTATGATAACTAAGGTTACCGTATGGAGGTGAAATATGTGTTTAATGTGTAAATGTTTTGTATGTACTGTGTATGCAGGTCTTTAGTGATGTGCATAGATATGTGCAGGTTTAGTCTCTGATATTCTATCGACCTGCTGGGGTCTTTTGTACCTTTTTACTGTAAACAAGTGTGAAAGGTGTTCTTTTTAGGGTTTCTAGGGCCGGAGAACAAGAGCCCACCTGAGCACCAGGCCTTTCTGAGGCAGTCAAAGGGTGATTACAGTGGACAGGATAAATGTTAGGGTCACCTTTTATGTGTTTTTACAAAGGTCTGTGATGCTTATTTTGTCAACAATTTTAAAAGGCATGGACATGAAAAGGTTAACTTTGCAACGGTTAAGAGGATGGAACACTTTGATGCATCTGGCAACACTGATTTAGTTGGCGCATTTGACCCAACTGTGCATTTGTTATGGATGTATACAGAAAGTAACAGCCTTGTTTAAGAGTGCTGTCTTAATAAATATTTCAATGAAAATGAACTATGCAGTGCGCTTTGTAATGCATCTCATTGTGAAAGACTGAAACATTTGTAACCCTACCAGCCAGGCATAATGTTAAATCGCACACGTCCCTTGCGATCTTTGTGTTGGTGCTGGCCAGTGTCTCAGAAATCTCCTCCAGGTGATACCTTCTCGCTTTCGTTTCTGGTGGTATTATTGCTGTTGCGATTATTGATTCAAGATCCTGAGAGGTTTTGACAAAGTGAAATGTTTCAAGGTGGGATATTAAGTGTTCAAATCAGGGAACATTGCATGCATATAGCACTTTTTACTACAAGGGCCTCAAAGCTCCTTATACCAGAAATCGTTTGACCAGCTGAGTTTTCACAATCAGTGTGTCTGTGCACAAAAGATTTCACTCTTTAAAAAATATGAAAAATAGATTTTTATTTCATATGGGGGGGGGAGATAAATATCTCCAGTTTTCAGAGACGTTTGGTCTGTGATGATGGTTTTGTTTTATTAGTAGCTTATAATTGATTTGCTTTCCACTGTTCTCTCCTGCTGCACAGCAGCACTGAGCTGTACCTGTGGTGTTCTGACAAGTGAAAACGCTTCCTGTGTCATTGCAGGAAACAGGTTGACCTTCCGGGGGCCAAGGCCAGAGCCAGGTAATGACACCTTTCCTACTGCTGGGCTTCCTGCGTTTCTCGCTCTCCTGAAGGAGCACGAGCTCTCCGATACTGCAAGATTTGTTTTAAAAAAGAAAAAGAAAACATTTGTACTGCAGCACAGCAAAGCACTTTGGAGAGCTCTTGATCTGACCTCTTAATGCGTGGGGGATGCTGATGAATGGATGGAAATCATGTAGTTTGAATGTGCAGTCATTTATTCAATTGGCACTTGTTTGAGGAAGCACTCTTAACTTGTAGCCACGGTGGCACCTCTCTGCTTGAAAGTGGAGGAGAAGGAGACTTGAGATGGAGAGGAATTTGAATGGTATTTGGTTCCGTTGTGCAGTGGCCTCACCCAGGCGTGTCCAGTGCTGGAGGACAGCCAGAATTCCCGCTTAAAAAAGCCTTCGCCTCTGGAGAATTTGATGTGGGCTGGGCAGGGGGCAGGACCATTCACACACAAAAAAAAAAGGAACTAGTCTCGTCTTTAGACCGGCTCTGGCTGTGGTGTTTATAATGGTGCCGGCTGTCGAGCTTACAAGGAGCTCTACAGTCTCTACCACGTAAAACTAACAAGAAAACAGCGTTGGTTATGAGGAGTATCTCTGTGCAATAATATGCCCACTTCGGCATGTAATTTGAGACCTGAAAACTGAACCCATGTCAAATTTGAGAGACCCTCAGGAAAGTGATTGAACGTCTGAGATGAAACCATAAATCTTCCTGTAACATGCAGAAATCAGTCAATAGTTATTTAACACCCAGCCCACAGATTTGATTTGTAGCTGGAGGATGAAAAGGCAGGGTCATAGGTCTCCGAGAGAGCATCTCCGTTGCCTCCTCCTCTCGGTTCATCAGTCTGAAAGCTAACTTCTGGAGGCAGGCTTGTATTTTTTAACTCTGCAGTCTCTGAAACGGGTTGTGCTTGTGAGCACCTGGTGTGTGAATGCGTTCTTGATGCTCAAGGTGTTGCTCACCCTGCAGTGGCTCAGGGAGAGCAGTAGACTGTCTAGCTCTTGTCCTGGTAGCAGTTGCCCTATAGAGAGCCGAGACTGGAGGCATTTGAGCTCCAGCCTTCCAATGGGCTTGCTGATACTGGAACCACTCAGACACCACTTTGGTGCTGCCCAATTAATAATGCCTTGAATTTTCATCCCAGATGAACTCCTTTTTAACTTTTGGGACATAAATCCAGAGAGTGAAGGTGAAATTACAACTGCAGGTAAATCCTTGTGTTCAGGGGGGTTAAATAGGGAAGCAGATCTGCTACATCCACCATTCGGGTCATAACATACATTCCTGTTAAGGGATTTTTCATTTGTTGGTTTTCAGTCGGTACAGTATGTAAGAAATGTGAGAAATAAGATTTATACTGTCACAGATATTTTCTTTGAAAATGCATTTTCAGTCAGCCACTTTCATAAACTGATACCTTATGACGTCAGGGAAGTAATTTCCCCTGATTTCACCATTTACTTGACTTCACTCTGCTAAAGTCTGAAGTTGAAATTGAAGGAAAGGAGGAGCCTTGGGGCCACAGTCCTCTAGTTTCCTCGAGTTCAGCTCCAAACCTGCTGTCTACAGCTTGCTCACTTCTAATTGCCTCATGCAAGAACTGAGACAGGTCAGCTATGGTTAATAGCTAGACTTCAGATATAGCATTTCTTCTTTCTAATACAGTTTTTACACACTTCTGAGCTGTACCTCTGCTTCTCTTTGGGTGTGCTTGTGTAACAGTCTGCTTTTTCCTCCAGAAACACTGGGCCTCAGCACCACGACTCTCACACCTGCGCGGTGCAGGCCTACTCTACCTGCGGCAGGTGCATGTGGTCACTGAGCTGCCGCACGGAGCCGCGCTTAGGTGGGCTCTGTGAAGGAATTGTTGTGGAAAGCCAGCACAGCCAGGCCCGTCTCCAGCCTGGCTGTTTGCTCAGTTTCACAGCAAGCTAATGGAGTGATCGGCTGTGCAGTAATGTGTCACATTGTACGAGGTGTCTTAAATGGTAAAATAGCTAATGAAGTGCATTAACTCTAATGACAGCAGTGTGTTTTGTTTTGATGCGGCATAATAAGCCTTCGTGCTTTTGCGTGCCGCTCGGTCTTTTGAATTCTAATAAACGTTGATATCTGAGTTATGGTTCTGCATCTCACTGCAGGGCTCAGTGCGCTGAGCACAGTAGGGATATGCCCTGTCCTGCCAGCTGGGAGACGCGGTTCACAGCGCAGTGCATTGGACAGTGAAGTCCCCTCCGTGGGAAAAATGGCTTCTTGATCAATAATATGAGAGCTTAACATTTGAAATTAGAGACATTAGATTTACAGTTATTCCTTGAAGGGAAGCTAAACTGATACTTAGTGTTTTGCTTCGTCACCAAGTCTTTCATAAACTCCTGTGAACCCAACACACATTTATCATAGCTGCTTCTCAATTTGAAACACTTTGTTCCATATAAAGTCCCATTTTTAGCTTCATGCACTCAAAACAAGTAAATGAAGACTGAGCAACATGTCACCGAGTCCACTAAAAGGCAAAGGTTGAGCAAATTGTCTGACAGCTCTCTCTGTAAAAATATTACTTTATTGCAATAGAATGTGTATTTTTGCTTGCTGTGGTAAATTCATTTGGTTCACATGAAAATTAAATATGGAGAAAGTCAGTGACGGAGCAATTCATGAGCATAGATATTATAAAAATACTTCAGACTTTTTTAAAACTATATGATATAATAAAAAAATACAATAGTGTGATTGAGAGTTGAGAAGCATTAATCTCTCCGATCCGCAAGCACAGTTCAGTGGTGACGAGCAGTCAGGCCCTGTCTTTGACTTATAAAGCTGTTTCGTCTCCCAGTGTGGGGCTAAAGCCACAGACTGGTTGAATGAGTGCCGTCCTCTAATGGACATCTGGTTTCACCCAGAGCAACAGATGCTCACCCAGTTGCTACAGCCGTGAGGATGGAGACGAAGGATCACAGCTGCTCTGATGTCACCTTGACAGAACCAGCAGCCTCCTTTGGCCTGGTTCTGCCCCGTGTGTGGAGTCAGAGCTGGGGTGAGCCTGTGAAGACCCTCTGTGGCCCGTGCCAGTTGTCTGCTGCTTGCACAAATAGCGCTTTGGTCCATTCTGCTCAGGCCAGTCTTTATTGACATATGCAATAAAAAACAAGAAGAAAAAACAAGTAAAACATCTTGTATTCTTGTTCTTTCATCTCTGAACCAATAAGTACACCCCAAAAATCTGAAATGTATTTTCAGATTTGTCTTCCTTTTTTTATTCCTGCTGCAGGGTTAGGTTGGCTATTAAACACTTGCAGTTGGAGGTAAAGCATTTATGAGTTACTGAGTCACTCAAATCAGCCGCATCAGCTTAATTTATTCTGTCTGCCTCTCTTCCCCAAGAGAGTGCTCCTTTTATTCTGTGTTTGCTGTGAAAGCTTTCAGCTGGGATGCAGAGGGCTGCCTGTTGCCTTATCTGTGTTTGCACTGTGGCAGCGCTGTCTTGATAATGAGACAGAGTTCAGTGGGGTTGTTAGATTATTAAATTGTGCACGCAGGCTTGGATTTGACCTTCATCCACAGCCGTGTGACACCAAGCCTTCCCTTTTCCTCGGGAACTCGGGAGAAAGCTGCAGTTATGGCAGAAATGATCAGGAACGCGACTTCAAAGGTGAGCCGTCCAGGAGTCTCCCGGCCCTCTGGCTTTGCAGGAGCAAGACTTAGAGTGGTTGCCTTGGCACCTCTTTAATCCTCCTGTTTCCAGCTCACTTAAGTTAAGGTTGAATCAGTGTTCTCTCCGAGAGCTGTTCACATATGAAGCTCGGCATCCCCTCGCATCACCCGCAACCCAGTTTGCTCTAGGAACAGAAGCTGTTCGTGCTTCGGTGAAGGTGACCCTGGTGGCTGGGAGGATGAGTGCTGCTGAAGGCCGAGGTGGGGGGGAGGACAGCCAGCTCCCTGGCGGAGCAAAGCTCACGATGTCAAAGCGCCAACATTCTGCAGAGGGAAGGACTGGGCGTCCACAGAGCGCCTTCTTCAAGCTGCAGCAGCTGATACAAATCGGTTCGCACAGAGAGGTAGTCGGAAATAGCTGCCCCTGGATTTTCCCTAAAGATTCTTGTCATTAGACTTGGAAAGGACGGATAGCGTGCTGATGAGAAATTAAATGGAAAACATCTGAAGCCTTATTGCTTGTTAGCTCGTTGCTTGCTGATTGCACTGCACATGCTTGCAGGCACTTCTAGGAGCAGAACGGTTCAGCTCCACGGGAAACGCCAGCATAGGACCACGATTTGTGTTTTTTTTTAAGAATTTCCCCAAACAAGGCTATTTGAATACACCCCCCCCCCCCCCCCCCAACTTGCCAAGAATATTTCATTAAAGGAGCCAAGGAAGAAAAAAAAAAGAAGTTCCAGCTTTGTCCTGGTTTGCCATCTATTTTTCATTTAATCAGCAGGAAGGAAACAGGCTTGTCAGTAATATCGGCCTGTCAGGCCCACAGAGCCCAATGCTGCCAGGTATTGTGAGATAATGTAGTGCACTCTGATCAATCACCCTGCCTATCCTGTTTCGGCTCTCATTGATAGGTGATAAATCTGCATGTATCCAATTAAATCAACAAACGTTATTAGAACCAATCAATCTGTGGTTCCCTCTCCCCACAGCACGCTTGAAGAAAGGACTGTATTACCCTGGGCTCTGCCTATCGATCACAGCTTTCATATCTAGATAATCTTACTGTGTTCCTGTGTCCTCTCAGGGCCTTCAATATTAAAACACTTGGCAGGCAGAAATACCACATGGAAGAAAGGATCTCTCGTTATTTAAGGCTGGTGGCTTATGTGTAACGGGGAAAAAAAAGTAGAATTCCAATTTCAGTTCATTGTGCATCTGCCTTTTCAGTGTTCACAGATAATTAACTGCAAAAAGGTTTTAAATGTTAATGGGAGAAACTATTTCTGGGCGTCTTTCCATAGAGACTTCTGTAGATTAGAATAGTT